ACTTATATAGCGACGTGCATGTACATGTGTGTGTTTGTGTGGCTGCTTGTACTAGTCCGGACTGATGCCGATTTATAGTGCTAGCTCACTGAGATACAATGCCGCAGTTTAACATGAATGCCCCACTCAGACACAGTATACTGTCTCCGAGCCGACCAGTCCTTGTTTTAGCCCCTTAATGCCGAGCGCCAGACAGGGTAACAACAAGTACTATCTTTTAACGTCTTTTGGTATGACGCGGCCGGGGATCGAACCCCGGACCTTCCACTCTCCGGGCGGACGCTCTACCCCTAGACCACGGAGGCGGTCGCAGGGATATTGGGGACCCGGAATCGCCAAGCAGTATTTTTAATAATGGAGTTGCGGGTAAAGCGTTCCCTCGTCACACCGAAGACCCGGGTTTAATTCCCCACATGGGTACAATGTGTGAAGCCCATTTCTGGTGTTCCCTGACGTGATATTGCTGGAATATTGCTAAAAGCGGCGTAAAACCATACTCACTCAGCCATTCGCCCACGCGCCGTGGTGTACGGCTATATTTATATAACGCGTCTACACTGACAGCAAGTACATCACTGTTGTTGTTTTGAATGAAAGAGTGACAATGTACTGACATCATGACGCAATCATTGGGGTTGTTTGTAGGGATGGGCGTTCAGGTATTTTTTTTCCCTCCAAGAGGAAATTCCAAATAATGAACCAGGAAGCTCACCTCAACCACATGTGCGTGCATTTTCAGTTGGTTAAAACAATTTATGCATCAGACGTGCAGGTGTTTTATGCACACGCTGAACTCGTTAGTCACGAATTTGCCCCAATGGTTTCACCACGACATCACGAGTCGCGTTCAAAGAAACGTCAAAGGTTGCAAAAGCACCACTTGAACCGGATCCACATCTCCAGTTTTACAATCCGGTTTGAGTGAACTGTTTTCGGAATGGTTTAACACCTGCAGATCCCAGAGCGTTCACGTGGGTGTTTGTTTACGCGCGAGTGATTTATGATCGGCCTGTAACTGACATGGGTGACCAGTCTGCCAGTGCCGATATCACGCTATCTCAAAGCCAAGACCTTTCAAAGATGAATTAGCAGTCAAAACAAAACCAGATTAGACTGGATGATAGCTACCTATTTGTAGCAGCACGCTGTATGGTCAGATGGAACCGGTCAGTTCTGCTCAATGCACGGATGGACGGATGACGGTATCTGTTATTAGTTGTAGGATGCTAGTGTTTGTTTACCATTTCCTTATGACTCTGATCGCAATACAAAGCTACAGGTAATAACATCACGGGTTAAGATACTGACGTACAAGTGTTTATTCTGTTATGCGTGTTAATAATCAATATAGTTGATGTGTGCCTGGAGTTATTTTAGTAATGGTGGGTTTAGTTTGTTTGTTAGTTGTTTAACGCCACGCTCAGCAATATTCCAGCTTTATTGCGGCGGTCTGTAAATAATCGAGTCTGGACCAGACAATCCAGTGATTGACATCATGAGCATCGATCTACGCAATTGGGATATCATGACATGAATCAATCACCCGATCCCGTTAGCCGCCTCTCACGACAAGCATAATAACCTTTTACAGCAAGCATTGGTTGCCTATTCTCTGCCGTTTTTTCGCCTAATTTTCAACAATGTCGCTTGAGTGGACGTCACCGACTTCAACGGCAAGCTGAGCGTGTTTGTGGTTAATTTCATACATACCATTTACCTCTTTACTAACAGTTAAAACTCGACACCTGAATAAACATTTCAGTCCCAATACAAAATATTACTCGGTCATTTCTAGGTTACAGAATGTTACAGATCTAGGCCCTGTATGTTTACATGGAACATGTTCAGGAATAACGGGAATCGACTGTATTTTTATACATGTCCATCCTACTGAGACTGAGTACGGGTGGCCCAGTCGTCCAAGGCGCCGCGATTCGCTGTGCAGAGCTCCGTGCCTTGGACACGCCAGAAACCTATGATTGTGGGTTCGAATCCCGGTTCGCCCCGATTATGTTTTTAGGTTTGTCAGCACCATACCCTTGCTCGTGGGTTTCACCGAAGTAAACGTCTACAGTGACTGTAGGCCCAGTGGAAAAACTGTAGGCCCAGTGGAAAAACTGTAGGCCCAGAGGAAAAACTGTAGGCCCAGTGGAAAAACTGTAGGCCCAGTGGAAAAAACTGTAGGCCCAGTGGAAAAACTGTAGGCCCAGTGGAAAAACTGTAGGCCCAGTGGAAAAAACTGTAGGCCCAGTGGAAAAACTGTAGGCCCAGTGGAAAAAACTGTAGGCCCAGTGGAAAAACTGTAGGCCCAAACATTTCAGCTGAACCAGGGAGGTATGCTCTTGCAAACACAACCTGTCAACCAGTCAACCAGAAGCTTTTACTGCTATCACACCGAGTTCTCAGAGAAAATAATAATAAAAGGAATTTTAAGTACGATTTATCATCACATAGTTCCCGATCATAGTGGCTTTCCGCTCTGTGATATGAAAAAATACCAGGAAATACCTCCGTTGTCGAAGCTTTCTATAAATAACACGTGCGAAGATTCGTTCCATAGTTGGTGTCGTTGGAAAGCTCTGAACATCAATACTATTACAGTAATCTCGCCAGGAGTATTTTCGTATTTAGATTTCAGATTAAAACGAAAGTGTTTGGCTAATTCGTGTTATGGTGAACGCTTAACGCAGGAAATCATGCCTGTGACAAAGATTTCTCATGCATATATTTTGACACTAAATATCGTGTGCGAAAAATCGAGGCGGCAAATGCCGAGGTGTGTCATTTGACTTACATTACACGATTGCACGAAACATGGAAATAATATCTTAGATGTAAGTTAATTAGTTTGACCATTTGTGGGTGAGTGAGTGAGTTGGGTTTAACGCCGCTTTTAACAGTATTCCAGCTTTAAGTGGGAGGAAAGCCCGAAGTGATGCAGGTCTCAGACGTTTACCACTTCGGTGAAACCCTCGCCCACGGGTATGGTATGGTGCTGACAAACCTAGAAACATAATCGGGGCGAACCGGGATTCGAACCCACAATAAACGGTTTCTGGCGTGTCCAAGGGACGCAACTCTGCACAGTGAATCGCAGGGCCTCAAGTGACTGGGCCACCCGTGCCCCCTGACCACTATTGGAAATATTTTTGTTGATTTTATTTATGACTTTATTTAATTTATTTACGATTGCTTGAATCGTCTTTAAATTGCTCTTTTCATGTTTGATATGAGCCCGTTGTCGAAGCATTTGTCCCAGAGTTTCTTTTGCAATAACATTGCGGGAATTAGTTCATAATTTTAAATCTATTGATAAAATATGATAAATTGAAATAAAATACGTATTTTCTCACTTTGTGAAAAAGTGATAGATTTAATAAATAAAAGATAAGACAGGTAGGTTGTAGAAACTATATATTATTTTGTCGGGGCTACGATGTGGCCGATACACCGGCCTCCGGTGCTGAAAGAGTTAACAGCGGAGTTCTGTGAAGCTGGACCCCGTTTCACCAAGCAATCTCCATGTTATGATTCATTTACCATGTTTACAGCTTAAAATAAACAGCAGGCAGAATGGGCCCGCTGAAATTTAAAACTCCCAGCCCGAGAACAAATCTGTCGGCCTCGCGCCTACGTGCCGATGTCTGTTTCGAGCACTGCAATCCAGTGATTGATATTATGAGCAACGATCCACGCCATCGAGAAACGTTGACACGTCATCAAGACATCGAGCCTTACCACCCGATCTACCAAGTCGCCTCTTGCCACCAGCATAATGGCGGGGACCTTTGGGGAATCCCGCGAGCACGGGTGTGGTGATGTCATATCAATACTAACAAATAACAAGGTCAATTCTTGGGTTTCTGTGTTTTCCAGGTGAACAAATGTGACTTGCCTTTGCATGTGTATGTGACGGGTGCCACCTGTGGGGCAGGATATGCTCACCGTCTCTGTGTGTGGCTGCTTGTACTAGCTTGGACAAATGCCGATTTTATAGTGTTAGGCCACTGACATACCATGCTGCAGTTTAACATGTATACCCCACTCACAGAAAACTGACTCCGAGCCGACACCTTGTTTTAGCCCCGTTTTAGCACCTTGTTTTAGACAATAACTGGTTGCTCGAGATGAGAAAGGGATGAGTACTGTCTGCTAGAGCTGAGAAGGGGATGAGTGCTGGCTGCTAGAGCTGAGAAGGGGATGAGTGCTGGCTGCTAGAGCTGAGAATGGGATGAGTACTGTCTGCTAGAGCTGAGAAGGGGATGAGTGCTGTCTGCTAGAGCTGAGAAGGGGTGAGTATAGGCTGCTAGAGCTGGGCAGGGGATGAGTGCTGGCTGCTAGAGCTGAGAATGGGATGAGTACTGTCTGCTAGAGCTGAGAAGGGGATGAGTGCTGTCTGCTAGAGCTGAGAAGGGGTGAGTATAGGCTGCTAGAGCTGGGAAGGGGATGAGTACTGGCTGCTAGAGCTGAGAAGGGGTGAGTACTGGCTGCTAGAGCTGGGAAGGGGATGAGTACTGGCTGATAGAGCTGGAAAGGGGGTGAGTACTGGCTGCTAGAGCTGGGAAGGGGATGAGTACTGGCTGCTAGAGCTGGGAAGGGGATGAGTACTGGCTGATAGAGCTGGAAAGGGGATGAGTACTGGCTGCTAGAGCTGGGAAGGGGATGAGTACTGGCTGCTAGAGCTGGGAAGGGGATGAGTACTGGCTGCTAGAGCTGAGAAGGGGTGAGTACTGGCTGCTAAAGCTGGGAAGGGGATGAGTACTGGCTGATAGAGATGGGAAGGGTGTGAGTACTGGCTGCTAGAGCTGAGAAGGGGTGAGTATAGGCTGATAGAGCTGGAAGGGGATGAGTACTGGCTGATAGAGCTGGGAAGGGTGTGAGTACTGGCTGCTAGAGCTGGGAAGGGTGTGAGTACTGGCTGCTAGAGCTGGGAAGGGGATGAGTACTGGCTGATAGAGCTGGGAAGGGGATGAGTACTGGCTGCTAGAGCTGGAAGGGGATCAGTACTGGCTGATAGAGCTGGGAAGGGGATCAGTACTGGCTGATAGATCTGGGAAGGGTGTGAGTACTGGCTGATAGAGCTGGAAGGGGATCAGTACTGGCTGATAGATCTGGGAAGGGGATGAGTACTGGCTGATAGAGCTGGAAGGGGATCAGTACTGGCTGATAGAGCTGGGAAGGGTGTGAGTACTGGCTGATAGAGCTGGGAAGGGTGTGAGTACTGGCTGCTAGAGCTGGGAAGGGGATGAATACTGGCTGCTAGAGCTGGGAAGGGGATGAGTACTGGCTGCTAGAGCTGGAAGGGGATCAGAACTGGCTGATAGAGCTGGAAGGGGATCAGTACTGGCTGATAGAGCTGGGAAGGGTGTGAGTACTGGCTGATAGAGCTGGGAAGGGTGTGAGTACTGGCTGATAGAGCTGGCAAGGGGATGAGTACTGGCTGATAGAGCTGGGAAGGGGATCAGTACTGGCTGATAGATCTGGGAAGGGTGTGAGTACTGGCTGATAGAGCTGGAAGGGGATCAGTACTGGCTGATAGAGCTGGGAAGGGTGTGAGTACTGGCTGATAGAGCTGGGAAGGGTGTGAGTACTGGCTGCTAGAGCTGGGAAGGGTGTGAGTACTGGCTGATAGAGCTGGGAAGGGGATCAGTACTGGCTGATAGAGCTGGAAGGGTGTGAGTACTGGCTGATAGAGCTGGGAAGGGTGTGAGTACTGGCTGATAGAGCTGGGAAGGGTGTGAGTACTGGCTGATAGAGCTGGGAAGGGGATCAGTACTGGCTGATAGAGATGGAAAGGGGATGAGTACTGGCTGATAGAGCTGGGAAGGGTGTGAGTACTGGCTGATAGAGCTGGGAAGGGGATCAGTACTGGCTGATAGAGATGGAAAGGGGATGAGTACTGGCTGATAGAGCTGGGAAGGGTGTGAGTACTGGCTGATAGAGCTGGGAAGGGGGTGAGTACTGGCTGATAGAGCTGGGAAGGGGATGAGTATTGGCTGATAGAGCTGGGAAGGGTGTGAGTACTGGCTGATAGAGCTGGGAAGGGGATGAGTACTGGCTGATAGAGCTGGGAAGGGGATCAGTACTGGCTGATAGAGATGGAAAGGGGATGAGTACTGGCTGATAGAGCTGGGAAGGGGATCAGTACTGGCTGATAGAGCTGGGAAGGGTGTGAGTACTGGCTGATAGAGCTGGGAAGGGTGTGAGTACTGGCTGATAGAGCTGGGAAGGGTGTGAGTACTGGCTGATAGAGCTGGGAAGGGGATCAGTACTGGCTGATAGAGATGGAAAGGGGATGAGTACTGGCTGATAGAGCTGGGAAGGGTGTGAGTACTGGCTGATAGAGCTGGGAAGGGTGTGAGTACTGGCTGATAGAGCTGGGAAGGGGATGAGTATTGGCTGATAGAGCTGGGAAGGGTGTGAGTACTGGCTGATAGAGCTGGGAAGGGGATGAGTACTGGCTGATAGAGCTGGGAAGGGGATCAGTACTGGCTGCTAGAGCTGGGAAGGGTGTGAGTACTGGCTGATAGAGCTGGGAAGGGTGTGAGTACTGGCTGATAGAGCTGGGAAGGGTGTGAGTACTGGCTGATAGAGCTGGGAAGGGTGTGAGTACTGGCTGATAGAGCTGGGAAGGGGATCAGTACTGGCTGATAGAGATGGAAAGGGGATGAGTACTGGCTGATAGAGCTGGGAAGGGTGTGAGTACTGGCTGATAGAGCTGGGAAGGGGATCAGTACTGGCTGATAGAGATGGAAAGGGGATGAGTACTGGCTGATAGAGCTGGGAAGGGTGTGAGTACTGGCTGATAGAGCTGGGAAGGGGATCAGTACTGGCTGATAGAGATGGAAAGGGGATGAGTACTGGCTGATAGAGCTGGGAAGGGTGTGAGTACTGGCTGATAGAGCTGGCAAGGGGATGAGTATTGGCTGATAGAGCTGGGAAGGGTGTGAGTACTGGCTGATAGAGCTGGGAAGGGGATGAGTACTGGCTGATAGAGATGGGAAGGGTGTGAGTACTGGCTGATAGAGCTGGGAAGGGGATCAGTACTGGCTGATAGAGATGGAAAGGGGATGAGTACTGGCTGATAGAGCTGGGAAGGGTGTGAGTACTGGCTGATAGAGCTGGGAAGGGGATCAGTACTGGCTGATAGAGATGGAAAGGGGATGAGTACTGGCTGCTAGAGCTGGAAAGGGGATGAGTACTGGCTGATAGAGCTGGGAAGGGTGTGAGTACTGGCTGATAGAGCTGGGAAGGGTGTGAGTACTGGCTGATAGAGCTGGGAAGGGGATGAGTACTGGCTGATAGAGCTGGGAAGGGGATGAGTACTGGCTGATAGAGCTGGGAAGGGGATGAGTATTGGCTGATAGAGCTGGGAAGGGGATGAGTATTGGCTACTAGAATTGGAAAGGGGATCAGTACTGGCTGATAGAGCGAAAAGGGGGATGAGTACTGGTTGCTAGAGCTGGAAAGGGGACGAGTACTGGCTGCTAGAGCTGGAAAGGGGGATGAGTACTGGTTGCTAGAGCTGGAAAGGGGACGAGTACTGGCTGCTAGAGCTGGAAAGGGGGATGAGTACTGGTTGCTAGATCTGGAAAGGGGATTAGTACTGGTTGCTAGAGATGGAAAGGGGGTGAGTACTGGCTGCTAGATCTGGAAAGGGGACGAGTACTGGCTGCTAGATCTGGAAAGGGGGTGAGTACTGGCTGCTAGAGCTGGAAAGGGGGTGAGTACTGGCTGCTAGAGCTGGAAAGGGGACGAGTACTGGCTGCTAGAGCTGGAAAGGGGACGAGTACTGGCTGCTAGAGCTGGAAAGGGGGTGAGTACTGGCTGCTAGAGCTGAAAAGGGGACGAGTACTGGCTGCTAGAGCTGGAAAGGGGATGAGTATAGGCTGCTAGAGCTGGAAAGGGGGTGAGTACTGGCTGCTAGAGCTGAAAAGGGGACGAGTACTGGCTGCTAGAGCTGGAAAGGGGACGAGTACTGGCTGCTAGAGCTGGGAAGGGGATGAGTACTGGCTGCTAGAGCTGGGAAGGGGACGAGTATAGGCTGCTAGAGCTGGGAAGGGGACGAGTATAGGCTGCTAGAGCTGGGAAGGGGTGAGTACTGGCTGCTAGATCTGGAAAGGGGGTGAGTACTGGCTGCTAGAGCTGGAAAGGGGACGAGTACTGGCTGCTAGAGCTGGAAAGGGGGTGAGTACTGGCTGCTAGAGCTGGAAAGGGGGTGAGTACTGGCTGCTAGAGCTGGAAAGGGGACGAGTACTGGCTGCTAGAGCTGGAAAGGGGGTGAGTACTGGCTGCTAGAGATGGAAAGGGGATTAGTACTGGCTGATAGAGTTGGGAAGGGGATGAGTACTGGCTGCTAGAGATCGAAAGGGGATTAGTACTGGCTGCTAGAGCTGGAAAGGGGACGAGTACTGGCTGCTAGAGCTGGGAAGGGGATTAGTACTGGCTGCTAGAATTGGAAAGGGGATCAGTACTGGCTGATAGAGCTGGAAATGGGGTGAGTACTGGTTGCTAGAGCTGGAAAGGGGGTGAGTACTGGCTGCTAGAGATCGAAAGGGGGTGAGTACTGGCTGCTAGAGCTGGAAAGGGGATGAGTACTGGCTGCTAGATCTGGAAAGGGGGTGAGTACTGGCTGCTAGATCTGGAAAGGGGGTGAGTACTGGCTGCTAGATCTAGGTAGGTGGTGAGTGCTGGCTGCTAGAGCTGGGAAGGGGCGAGTACTGGCCGCTAGAGCTGGAAAGGGGACAAGTATTGGCTGCTAGATCTGGAAAGGGGGTGAGTACTGGCTGCTAGATCTAGGTAGGTGGTGAGTGCTGGCTGCTAGAGCTGGGAAGGGGCGAGTACTGGCCGCTAGAGCTGGAAAGGGGACAAGTATTGGCTGCTAGATCTGGAAAGGGGGTGAGTACTGGCTGCTAGATCTAGGTAGGTGGTGAGTGCTGGCTGCTAGAGCTGGAAAGGGGGTGAGTGCTGGCCGCTAGAGCTGGAAAGGGGACGAGTACTGGCTGCTAGATCTGGAAATGGGGTGAGTACTGGCCGCTAGAGCTGGAAAGGGGACGAGTACTGGCCGCTAGAGCTGGAAAGGGGACAAGTATTGGCTGCTAGATCTGGAAAGGGGGTGAGTACTGGCTGCTAGATCTAGGTAGGTGGTGAGTGCTGGCTGCTAGAGCTGGAAAGGGGATGAGTGTCGGCTGCTAGAGCTGGGAAGGGGTGAGAATGGGATGGGGGTTCTGTAGGAGAGACCGACAGCACCAGTGTTTATTTTTGAAACACGCTTCATCAACCCCACAACTGATTAAGATTAATGTTAGGGACTGCGTGATTCTGTACACTCCAATACACATATCACTCGCAGCTGTTCCGTTACTGCAGTGATCTACTAGAACACGTTTTCAGATAACCAGGTGTCATGTATCGACCGAACGCACCCAGTGACATCATGTGAGAATACCTTCAGAGACAGGAAGATTGGGAAGTTTGATTTAAGTAAGGGAGTGAGTGTGTTGGGTTCAATACCTCTTTGTCATGGCGTGTCAGCTTAATGTGGGAGGAAAGCCCGAAGTAATGCAGGTCTTAAACATTTGTGTGAAACCTACGAGTACGGGTATGGTGCCGATATACCTATATACCCATATACTAATAATCAGGACGAACCGGGATTCGAACCCGCGATCATAGGTTTCCATCACTCCCAAGGGTCGCAACTTAGAATGTTAATTCAATGTGATATGTCCTACTATAAGGTGCATCCTAATCCTAAACTTGCCATCAAAAGACTTGTTAGATAATTAATCGTTTGAACGGTTTTAAGGGAAATAAATAATTCCAATACTTGTGAAAATGCCAACATGCCTGCTATACTCAACACGTCAATCCACACGCCCCCCCCCCCCCCCCCCCCCCCCCATACAGCTGTGCGTGAAAGATTGTGCTTCATACAATCGTTTACACGGAGCTGAGACAAAGATTTACGTCAAGAGTCTGACAGCCTGGTCGTTTAAATGGCAGACAGTTAAACATGCATGTTATTGTTTAGTTTTTGCAATTAACCAAACTTTAAATTGTACTCGAGGACCTCAGACACGCCAGGGCTTAAACATGCGCAAGAATTTTCGGGATGCTCCAAAAGCTGATGGAAAGAGAGTGACAAAAGCGAGCCACGCCTTCAACCTTGAGTGAGTGAGTATACTCCCCTAGGCGCTGAGAATGAAACACTGATCAGCTGACAGGGATAATACTACACTGTATTAGTAGCAGGAGTAGTAGTAGCAGTAGTAGTGGTAGTAGTAGTAGTAGCAGTAGTAGTAGTAGTAGTAGTTGTCGTAGTAGTAGTAGTTTTCACTAATTCTTAATTTGTATATCATTATCATTATTATTATTATTATTATTAGTGCGTTGTATCATGGCTTCTATATACGTATCAGAATACTTCATGTGTGTACATATAAACACGAGTTGTAACACGCCACGCCTTCAACCTTGAGTGAGTGAGTATACTCCCCAAGGCGCTGAGAATGAAACACCGATCAGCTGACAGGGATAATACTATTAGTAGCAGGAGTAGAAGTAGTAGTAGCAGTAGTAGTAGTAGTAGTAGTAGTAGTGGTAGTAGTAGTAGTAGTGGTAGTAGTAGTGGTAGTAGTAGTAGTAGTAGTAGTGGTAGTAGTAGTAGTAGTGGTAGTAGTAGTAGTAGTAGTGGTAGTAGTGGTAGTAGTAGTAGAAGTGGTAGTAGTAGTAGTAGTGGTAGTAGTAGTAGTAGTGGTAGTAGTAGTGGTAGTAGTAGTAGTGGTAGTAGTAGTGGTAGTAGTAGTAGTAGTAGTAGTGGTAGTAGTAGTAGTAGTGGTAGTAGTAGTAGTAGTAGTAGTAGTAGTGGTAGTAGTAGTAGTAGTAGTGGTAGTAGTAGTAGTAGTGGTAGTAGTAGTAGCTGTTTTCACTAATTCTTATATTGTATATTTTTATTATTATTATTAGTGCGTTGTATCATGGCTTCTATATACGTATCAGAATACTTCATGTGTGTACATATAAACACGAGTTGTAACAGCATCAAGTGTATAATTGATGTTTCGCTATTCCGAGTGACGCGTTTCCTGGCAGTTTGATACAGACTCCGCATCTTAGACAGTGTTCCCACGACAACCAACATCCCTTGTAAGACCGACCGCCTCCGTGGCCTAGTGGTAGAGTGTTCACCCGGGGAGCGGAAGGCCAGGCGTTCGATCCCCGACAGCGTCATACTAAAAGACGTTAAAAGATGGTACTTGATGTTACCCTGTCTGGCGCTCGGCATTAAGGGGCTAAAACAAGGACTGGTCAGCTCGGAGTCAGTATACTGTGTCTGAGAGGAGTATTCATAATAAACAACGGCATTGTATCTCAGTGGGCTAGCGCTATAAAATCGGCATTAGTCCGGACTAGTACAAGCAGCCACACACTCCTGAATTCACGTCGTAACATATAAGTGCAATTATCTTGGACGCGACGTCAAAACCCATTTCACCTCACCTTGTTATTTTTCCCTACCTTCAAACACCTTCACATTATCCTTGTTTCCTAAACAAAATCGACAAAAATAATTTTAACATACCAGGTGTTTCTTCTAATGCTGCACCCACGTGCCGGGTGCCTCTGATCCCGAGATAAGCTGTACAATGACTGAGCCCTTCATACAAATTCCAAAGCGATGGGATGGTTTACACAGGAAATAACGTTTACGCGATGGTCACAACACAAATAGCGCACACGCATCATGACAAGTGAACTAGTTCCCCGTGTACCGTAAATACCGATATCCTTTTGTTTATGTTCGTGTCGTTCGCGCGCGATTTGGCCATTGGAGAGAAATATTTTTGTTCGTGATTAGGTAAATATTATGGTTTAAGTACACAATAACGTTCCACGGAGGCACGTTATATGAATAACAGGGTCATAATTTCCTTAAATGACCTTAATTATCAACATACCCAAACAGACAACCCTGATGCCTGAATTGCATGTGAACGTAGGTACCCATTAACGTTTGTTTAATTGTTTGTTTATTGTTTAACGCCTAACCCAACAATATTCATATATGAAAAGAAATGTACTGAAGGTCAACGGTCTGAAGTATTCATAATCATTAATGTAGAACAGTGAGTCGGAACATGACTTGGTTGCCCCTGACAACTGAAATGGCACTATCAAACAATCATTTTGACATTTGTGTATTTTACACAAAACACACTATTAATTTGTTTTACTCGATTATTTTCAGACCGCCGTCATGTAGCTGGACTATTGCTGAGTGCGGCGTTAAACAACAAACAAAACAAAACCTATAATGGTAAACCTAAAGAAACCCGGTACATCACTTAAGAGAGGCCACACTCGGGTCAATTGACAGGCATTACAAGTTTGATCCAAGTCACTCTATTGCCTCTATTTGGATCCAGAACATTTAAAGTTTATGTTGTGTATCAATCTTGATGTGAAAGAGATAACTGTAGGGAGATCCTGGAACAGTTACACACAGGTGCAAATACAACGTTTGAAAACGACTGGATATAGGCGCTATAGTGTGTGGAGTGTAGCCACCCCCCCCCCCCCCCCCCCCCCCACCCCCCCCCCCCCCACCCCCCCACACCCCACCCTTAATGTCTTGCGCATGCAATGCATATCTATATACAAATCGTACTCGATATAACAAGTCAAAGATATCTACCACTGTGGCATTTCTCTTTCTCACAATTTAAACCAGCTCTTAATGAGTCTCTACAGAACTCAAAATAGTATTAGTGAGATTTGAAAAAAAAACAGCCGTTAAATTTGAAAAACAATATCAGTTAAATTTGAGGGGAAAAATACAGCTAAATTTGAAAAAAATATATTCAGCTTATTTTGTTTAGTAAAAGACTGCCGTCCTTTGTGTAATGTCGATCAATCTTGAATTACTGATCACTGAGGTACGAAAACCGGAATAACATTTATCCTTTAGTACAGCCTTGGGGAGATTAGACAACCAGTGGGTTGTGACTTTTGCAAGTTATAATTCGGCAGTATAGTTGATGCGGCGCGAAATACATGTAGGTAACGTGTCTACGTCCATCGAAGTCATCGCAGGCACGGCGGACAGCGTTATACTGCCCTGCTGGAGATTCATGTATAAACAAGACAGTGAACTGAGGGTATAAAACCTGGTCCAGACCTCTGACCCTAGAATCGTCCCAGTGTGTCGCTAACGTACACTGTGAATCTCAGCACAGGGTGACTGCAGCTTGGGGGTCAGTTTGACCAGCGAGCGCAACCCAACAACCCAACAACTCACAGTCAGTTCTATCCAATGTGTACACCCAAAGCTGAGATAATACTATGGGTGGGGTTATTTACTGACGTTTAAATCTTTGAAAGAAATGTTTCAAAATCATATAATGATTTTATTTCTTCACCTCTGGCATTTTTCCTTTGGAAACTTCAAAACTTAAACCACATGAAAAGGACTGTTTTTATTACAAACTTATATTCTTATTGTTTTCATTACATTACGTACATTATCTTAATCTGATTAGGACGGTCGGGAAGCCTAGTGGTTAAAGCGTTCGCTCGTCACGCCGAAGACCCGGGTTCGATTCCCTACATGGGTACAATGTGTGAAGCCCATTTCTGGTGTCCCCCGCCGTGATATTGCTGGAATAGTGCTAAAAGCGGCGTAAAACCATGCTCACTCAATCACTCACTTAATCTGGTTAGTCGCTATATGGCTGAAATAATGCCGAAGCGACGTTAAATTTTAACTTATTCACTTAATCTGATAAACTAAAAGATTAACTGTCAGTGTACAGTATTCTTAATCGTGCATGTGCACAATGTACACAATGTACATGCAGTAAAGTCAGCTGCTTAAAACGCTTAAAAGATAATTCGCATTATCACAAGGATATGTAATGTTTTCTTTCATCTCACTGATCATCTTTTACAAACTATGTCAGCCATGGTGATATATTACATCGCTTGTGTCGGCCACCTGCGTCGATGATTGACATATGCCGCTGCGCTCTCACGTTTTGCACGTGCAACACGGGCACCTGTGATGTCAATTTCTCCGTTGCATTCCACCTGTCTGACTTTTCTTAAAATTACATTTTTTATCCATTCGAGTGAGTCAGTTACGTTGAAAAATCATGTTAAAAATTTAAAAAGATGTTATTGGTGTAGATAACTTGTGAATCTGTGGTTTATTTCATAGAAGCACATGTTTCTTTTATTATTTGATGACCTATCATTAAAAACTTGGAAGATATGAGTATGATAAGACATGTACTTTCATTTAATTGAACTATTTACACTCTGTGTAATTTTGATCTTGACAACATGAAAAAGGATTTTTAAAGAGGTTTTTAGTAACGTTTCCCAGTTCGCATACTCCGTATATATATGAGGGTTGGAAAGTTTATTTGTGTAAATGTGTGTTTTAATAAGGAGGACAACTTAAAGCAATTTCAGTCTGCTCTCGTCCAAAATTGTTGTTAACATGGGAAATACGCACGGCAAATAGGATAGTTTTACTCTCTAATCATCCGGGTACTCTGGACCGACGACCCGGGATAAACCAGAGATATTTTTTGTGAACACTTGACTGTCTACCTGGTTTATCGATGGATTGGTATTGGTTGATTGGGTGTCTCCTATCAGTGACTACTTTCGTCGATTGGGTAAACAAACATGGCGACTAAATGATTTTTTTAAGGGAGCGTTCAACTGATGAAGATGGTATAATTATTTCACGTATTAAAAAACTCAGTGTAAATCTCTGTATATATGTATATCGAAACCCGTCAGTCACAAAGGCTCGAATAGGTCTTCAGCAACCCATGCTTGCCGTAAAAAGGCGACTATGCTTTTCGTAAGAGGCGACTGACGGGATTGGGTGGTCAGGCTCGAGGTGGTTGATGCAAGTCATCGATCCCAATTACGTGGATCGTCTAGTCCAGACTCGATAACTTACAGATCGCCGTCATGCAGCTGAAATATTGCTGTGTGTGGCGTTAAACAACAAACAAACCCAAAGCAAACTTTATCGATAAGTGCTGATATCTTGACATATCATGTCAAAAGGGGACGAAGCACCCACAGGGGCTCCTATTGGAGATAATACGGTGTATTTTTTCTCTCAACGTCACCTTGAGGTGGCTTCCTTGAACCCAATCCCCGAGCACGCGCCTATTTATAAATATTATAAATATATCCCTACATGTGGAGCCGAAGTAAGTGATACAAAATACTATTGCCCCTCAGACAAGGAAGTGCAAGAGAGGTCACGTGGTAGTGGCACTTTTATACAAGGACGGAACCTCCAATGGCCGTTGTGTGGACATAATCTCGTTTATTACACCTGTCACAAACAATTGGTCCCAACATCCCCAACTAACTTGAACCATTTCCTAAGGACTATTAATACGCGGTCATCTCCGACTTACCACTGGAAATATACATCGTTATCCGAATAATATATTTTGGCGTACGTACTGTCGCGTGAGAAAGTGCCCGACACAATGTCTGAACAGAAAGGTATTTATAACATAAAATATATTTTGGCTTTGGTTTTTAAAGTAGGCGTGACGTTGGGTAGATGGGTAGGGTGATCATTTAATTTTGAAATCTGGACTAGACGAACCACTGGTTAAAATATGGCTAGGTGAGGTAAAATAGTGTTTAACTTCGTGTTCACGTTTGCTTCAATTGTATGACGAGGTGCATGCACGTGTGTGGCTGCTTGTACCAGGCTATGCCGCTGTTAAATTTTGGGTTGTTTGTTTGCTTGCTGTTTAGTGTCGCACTCAAACAAACCAGTCTGGAGTCTGGACCAGACAAACCAGTGGTGGAGAGAATGAGCAATAGTCTGTATGTGACCAAGACTGAAGTTCGGACAAGAATCACGTTATTCACGCCTTCATAACGTTATATTGTTGGTTGGTTGGTTTGTTGTTTAACGCCGCACACAGCAATATTCCAGCTATATGACGGCGGTCTGTAAATAATCAAGTCTGGAACAGACAATCCAGTGATTGACATCATGAGCATCGATCCACGCAATTGGGATCGATGACATGCATCAACCAAGTCAGCGAGCCTGACCACCCGATCCCGCTAGTCGCCTTTTACGACAAGCATAGTCGCCTTTTACGGTAAGCATGGGTTGCTGAAGACCTATTCTACCCCGGAATCTTCACGGGTACATAACGTTATATAAAAGTCTGATGCTGATTTTGCACTTGTCTTCACAAGCTGCCAGAGTGCAATTAAATGACCCCGATTGGATGTTGTTTTATGCTTGCAGCAGCCAATACCCCGTAAAGATCCGGAGTAGAATAGGTCTTCAGCAACCCAAACTTGTCATAAGAGGCGACTATGCTTGTCGCAAGAGGCGATAAACTGGATCGGGGGGGGGGGGGGGGGGGGGGGGGGGGGGGCAGGCTCACTGGCTTGGTTGATGCACGTCATCGTATCTCAATTGCTCATGATGGGTCGATGCTCATGATGTCAATCACTGAATTGTCTGGTCTAGACAGAATATTTGTCATCTTCCCGAGGCAAGAGAGTTAACCGACTATAAAAGTCCAGTTTCCACCCTTGCCGAACTAGGCTGGCATTATAAGAGTTACATTTTGGCTGGACAGACGAGTCTATGCATAGTCCAATCAATATCGCTCAACCAAATCGAAATCCGGTCCGTAAACTGTCGTGCAGATTTTGG